ACCCCAACATTTGGTGCTGCTTTGCTGAGTCCTGACCCCACTTCAGGTGCTGGTACTAGACCTGCCGATTGCAGTGGCCCTTTCCACACAGCCTCGGGGACACAGGCAGCCCCTGACACAAGGCCCCTGACATGGCTGGCAGACCAGCAACCCGGTGAGCAGGGCTGTGGTGGGGAGGGCAGCACAGGGAAGCAGGGCAGGAGGCTGCTCCTTTCATTCCTTCCCCCCTGCCTTGCAGATGGACAGCCCAAAACAAATGCCACCAGATGACACAAAATGCTGGAGCTCAGCCCTCCAAACTGGTTTCCTCCAAAGAAGTTAAGTCAGCTCCATACTGTAGCCTGTCATGCTCCTACAAGACAATGGAAGCTCCCCAAGATCCTCCTGTTCTTACCCCAAACCTCGTAGTCTGCTTTGCTGAGTCCTGACCCCACTGCAGGTGCTGGCACCACACCACCTGACTGCAGTGGCCGTGTCAACGTGGCATTGCTGACACAGTGAGCCACAAATGGACAAGGAAACCATTTTAGAGCAGCAACCCGGTGAGCAGGGCTGTGCAGGAGAGGGCAGCACAGGGAAGCAGGGCAGGAGGCTGCTCTTCTTGTACCTCCCCTCTGCCTTGCAGATGGACAGACCAACACAAATGGCACCAGATGACCCAAAGTGATGCAGCTCAGCCCTCCAAACTGGTGCCCTCCAAAAAAGATAAGTCAGATCCATACTGTAGCCTGTCATGCTCCTACAGCATCATGAAAGCTCCCAAAAATCCCGCAGCCCACACGCCAACATTTCGAGCTGCTTTGCTGAGTCCTGGCCCACTGCAGGTGCTGGCACCACACCACATTAAATGCAGAGGCCCCTTCCACACAGCACTGGGGACACGCAGCCCCAGACAGCACTGGAAACGGCTGGCAAACCAGCAACCCGGTGAGCAGGGCTGTGCAGGGGAGGGCAGCACAGGGAAGCAGGGCAGGAGGCTGCTCCTTTCATTCCTTCCCCTCTGCCTTGCAGATGGACAGCCCAACACAAATGGCTCCAGATGACCCAAAGTGCTGGAGCTCAGCCCTCCAAACTGGTGTCCATCAGAAAAGATAAGTCAGCTCCATACTATAGCCTGTCATGCTCCTACAGCATCACGGAAGCTCCCAAAAATCCCCCAGCCCTCACCCCAACGTTTCGAGCTGCTTTGCTGAGTCCTGACCCCACTGCAGGTGTTGGCACCACACCACCTGATTGCAGTGGCACTGCTGATACAATGAGCCCCAAATGGCCAAGGAAACCATTTTCAGTCCAGCAAACAGGTGAGCAGGGCTGTGCAGGGGAGGGCAGCACAGGGAAGCAGGGCAGGAGGCTGCTCCTTTCTTCCTTCCTTTCCCTCTGCCTTGCAGATGGGCATCCGCACCAAGATGGAACCAGAGCAGGACACACATCTGTCCTCAGTTCTCTGTCTGGCCTCCGTGCCACACAGGACAGATAAGTCAGCCTCAAACAGTGCCCTTTATAGGGACACTGAAAGCTCCCCATCATTCCCCTTGCCCTACCCCAACTTTTGGTGCTGCTTTGCTGAGTTCTGGCCCCACTTCATGTGCTGGTACAGGACCTGCTGATTGCAGTGGCCTTTTCCACAGCGGCTTGGAGACATAGGCAGCCCCAATGGCCCTTGACATGGCTGGCAGAGCAGCAACGTGGTGAGCAGGGCTGTGCAGAGGAGGGCAGCACAGGGAAACAGGGCAGGAGGCTGCTCCTTTCTTCCTTCCTCTCTGCCTTGCAGACAGACATCTGGACACATACAGAATCAAAGCACTGCAGCCTCTGCCCAACAACCCATGTCTGCACCTGGCCAAGGCACTGACCGAAGCACGAAGAAAGCACCTGCCCTGTTCTGCACTGCTCTGCACTCCTACAGGCAGCCTGAGGATCCACAATGCATGGACAGTGGCAGCTCCCCAGCACCTCCCAGCTACAGACCCCACCACAGACCTACACACACACGGATGCTCTTGAGGACAAAGGCAGCTGCTCTACACTCACTTCGTCTTCATTTGAAGCTGATCAGAGCATCTAAAAAATTAAAATAACCTTTAAAACAGACTGGTCAATTCATTAAGCTCGTCTGCTTCATCCATCTTGTGACATCTTTTTGGGGAACCTTTTGGGGTTTTCCTTATCATGCTCAACTCCTTTTATTTATGCAACATAATTATATTCTCTTCTCACTAGTGACCACCTTTCTCCCCTCCCCATTTTTATTCTTAGACATTCACTTACAAGCCTTTATAAGACAAAGTGCAGTGTAAGCTGAAGGAGACCCAGGGAAACCTCACTGTGGCCTTCCACTACTTGAAAGAAGCATATAAACAGGAGGGGGAAAACGGCTGTTTACAAGGGTGGATAGTGATAGGACAAGGGGGAATGGTTTTAAAGTGAGACAGGGGATGTTTAGGTTGGATATGAGGAGGAAGTTTTTGAGCCAGAGGGTGGTGAGGCACTGGAACAGGTTGCCCAAGGAGGCTGTGGATGCCCCATCCCTGCAGGCATTCAAGGCCAGGCTGGATGTGGCTCTGGGCAGCCTGGTCTGCTGGTTGGTGACCCTGCACATAGCAGGGGGTTGGAACTGGATGAGCATTGTGCTCCTTTGCAACCCAGGCCATTCTGTGATTCTATGATTCTAAGGATGGGAGCAGGTTGTTGGTTTGGAATAACCACAATTACCACCATCACCCCAACCTTACCACCTCACACTGACTTAGTGTACAGCCCTGCCTGCATACGATCTGCTGGACCACTAACACAAATCACACCTTTCCCTTTGCAGTATTCCTGCAGTGGTTTAAGAACCAGTGTGATACCCCTTCTCCCAGGCTGACACTCGAACAGCTTTTCAGCATGTAAACATTCCTGCATAGCTTTATTGACTTCAGGCAGAGCTGGGCTACGCTGAGCATGCTCAGGGAACATGATCCTCATCAGTGACCCTGCAGAGCTAATTAATAAGCCAGCAGCTGGCAGCTTGTGCTTAAGCTTCGTTCTTAGACGGCGAGGACTTACTGAGGAAGGCAAGGCAGCTTATCTACTCTGACTTCATGTGCTAGTGCAACCTTACAGGCACAGCTGTGAATCTTCCTTTGAGGTCACATTTTTGATTGCACAGATCAAGATCTTCATCACACTGTCCCCCCTCTGAAATCCCACCAGCTGCTAAGCAACAATCCGATCCTCAGACTTGCACAGAAAGCTTCATCTGTTGCTGTGTGTGACAAATGCTCAGCCACTGTACTGCCTCAAGACAAGCCAGACTCTTTCAGGAGACTCAAGAGAGGTTTGGAAGGAAGCTAGCAAATCACAGAATGGCCTGGGTTGGAAGGGACCTCAGGGATTCATGAAGCTCCAACCCCCCCACCAGATGCAGGGCCACCAACCTTCACATTTCATAGCAGCCCAGGGCCCCATCCAACCTGGCCTTGAACACCTCCAGGGACAGGGCAGGTTAGAGAGTGAATTAAGAGAGAGAAAAAAATACAAATGATTAATTGTTCACGTAGCTTATGAATGAAGCCTGGAGAAAAGTCAGTGCCCCACGACTCAAAGGAAGAAGTAAACACGGCAGTCAAGGCAAGAGAAGGGAGATTTAGTCAGCAGGCCTCCTCTGAGCAAGCTGCCTAAAGCATTAAGGATGATGGTGAGAAAGAAAAGCAGAAGGACCACCATCTGGCCAGTTTTCCTGCACCCACCCACCTCCTAACCACAGCTTTTAAAGAGGTGAGCACATACGCCCAAAGCAGAGAGGATGAAAACACAGCACTGAAAATTAATTACAGCAAGTAATTTTCAATTAAGCTAGAGGACAAAGGCTCCCCACAGCTAAATACACAGCGAATGTAGCGCACAGATTTTCCTTTGATCAGAGGCCGTGCAGATCCCTGGGGCTTAGGGAAGCTGGGGGCTGGGAAGCAGGCAAGACAGCAGCCTAGACAGGTTGTTTGATAAGCAGCAAACCTCAGAGACCTTTCACAGCTCACAGGCTTCTTTACAATCTCTCTAATGAATGAGCTCGAGAACCCTTGTAGGAAGTGTCCTGATTATCACCTAGGTTAGCAAGGACAAACAGGTGTAGTCCAACTGACTCTCAGCTGTTTTATTGACTAGTTTCAGTTTATAGAACAGTCATTTCTCACGACTGCTGGCTTTAATTAGAACATTTTTTTCCTGAGGTAGCTTGGTGAAATCTAAGTTTTCCTAGTTCATACCTTTTAAGAATCAACATATACACTGCTGCTTAAGAAAAGGGTTTTAACACAGCAACCAAAAGTTACATCCAAAAACCCCTATTTACTGCAGTTCAGCCCAGCTTACCAAGCCCATCACCATGATTGCTGTTTCCCTCTTCCACTCCTTCCCTCCCCCAGCACTTCTCACAGCAACAGTTCTGACTGCAGAACACACAGATGGCAAGTCTTAATTCTGACAGAAATGACAGAGGAGAATGCAGTTCCAAGCAGGAGAAAGCTCATCTTGTGGCCACCACGCAGCATTTCCTTGGAGTCTGAACAACACCCTTCAGCTTTGACCCTGAGAAGATGAAGCTGAAAATGCTATAAAATAGACACTGTAAAAAATAACAATAAAATCAGAGAATCACACATTGTTCTGGGTTGAAGAGGACCACAATGATCATCTAGTTTCAACACCCTGCTATGTGCAGGATCACCAACCACCAGACCAGGCTGCCCAGAGCCTGCAAAGGCAGTGACACAACCTAAGCCACCAGTGCACTGGCAGCCTGACCTCCTCCATCCCCAAGATGTTTGTTTAAGCCCATGATGTTTGGACAAACCAGCTGAAAAGGAAATCCAGAGGGACCGAGCCAGCTCAAGCAGCAGGCAGAGAACCTCCCAAGGTTCAACAAAGCCAAGTGCATGATCTGCACCTGGGTCGTGGCAACTCCCACTATCAGTACAGGCTAGGGGATGAAAGGATTTAGTACAGCCCTATTGAAAAGGACCTGGGGGTACTGATGGATGGAAGCTGGGCATGAGCCAGCAGTGTGCCCTTACAACCCCAAAGCCAACTGCATAGAATCACAGAATGGCTTGAGTTGGAAGGGACCTCAAGGATCACGAAGCTCCAACCCTCCTGCCGCAGGCAGGGCCACCAACCTCCACATTTCATAGCAGCCCAGGCTGCCCAGGGCCCCATCCAACCGGGCCTTGAACACCTCCAACCTTGAACCACATCCTGGGCTGCATCCTCAGCAGCAGGGTGAGAGGGGATGTGCCCCTCTGTGTTGTGAGGTCTCACCCGGAGCACTGCATCCAGATGTAGAATCCTCAGCAGAAGAGAGATATGGAGCTGTCAGAGCTTCTTATACTAAGAGTGGTAAAGCAGAGGGCTGGAGCAGCTCTCCTATGAGGGAAGTTTGAGGGAACTGGGCTTGTTTAGCTTGGAGAAGGCTGCAGGGAGATCTCATTGTGGTCTTCCAGAACTTGAAGGGAGAGGATAAACAGGAGGGGGAATGTCTGTTTACAAGGGTGGATAGTGATAGGACAAGGGGGAATGGTTTTAAAGTGACACAGGGGAGATTTAGGTTGGATATGAGGAGGAAGTTTTTCAGCCAGAGGGTGGTGAGGCACTGGAACAGGTTGCCCAAGGAGGCTGTGGATGCCCCATCCCTGCAGGCATTCAAGGCCAGGCTGGATGTGGCTCTGGGCAGCCTGGGCTGCTGGTTGGCGACTTGCACATAGCAGGGGGTTGGAACTGGGTGAGCATTGTGCTCCTTTGCAACCCAGACCACTCAATCATCCTAGGCTGCCCAGAGAGGTGGCAGATGCTTCGTCCCTGCAGACGTTCAGCTGGACAGGTCTTTGAGTGAGGCCTGTAAGGGATGCTTTTAACCCAGAAGATGCTATGAAAATGACTCTTCTGGCCGCAAGCTCAGCAAAATAACACCTGAAACACACAGGTCCAGCTGTGATGGTGGAGGCTGCGCTGGCACAGCTCGATGGATTCATGGTTAAAGCTGAAATGGAAAGCAGCACAGAGCCCTTGGGGGGGGAGGGGGCAAAGGGTTAAATCCAGGAAGCTGAGGAACCAAAATAAGGATGAAGATGATGCTACGCGGATCTTAAGCCACCAAACAACCCCCAACTGCACCTCGATTACGCTTCCATCCCATAGGAGCACTCAGCACTCAGCCGGGGCTCCCCAGGGCCACCTCCTTCGGCCCAGCCCGGTTTCCTGTATCACCCCACGGCCCCATGAGGGGGGGGGCAGGACCCAGAATGGACCCCACACACACATATATAGAGATAAATACCCACCCCTCCCCCCCCTCACCTTGTCCCAGCTCAGCCACTGCCACACCGCTTTGTCCAGCTGCGCGTCGCCGGTGCTGCGGGCGATCAGCACGTTGGAATTCACGTCCCCGCCTCCGGCCCCGCGTTCACACATCTCTCTCCCGTTCGGAATGAGGATGCTTATCAAACCGACGCACCGAGCATCGCCCGAAGGACGGAAAACGGAGGAGCGGACAACGCCGAGCTGCTGCTGCCGCCGCGGGTAACGGCGACAGCCCGCCCCGCCCTCCGCCGCCTCTCGACAACAGGCGAAGCCCCTCCCCCGCGCCGCTAACCCACCAATCAACGCGGCTTAGGGGCGGGGACACGCGGCCGCCTTCCCCTCGCGCCTGGTGCACGATGGGAAATGTAGTGCAAGCACCGGAAGATGGACGCGGAGGGGGTTGGGCAGGCGGGAGGCGCAAAACTACAATTCCCAGCAGCCCGCGCGGCACGCTGCATTTCGCCTCAGGGTGAGGAGGCGCTGTGAGGGGATGGCAGCGTTGCTTCCCTTCTATCCCTCGTTGGTGGGCTCTTCAGCGATCGGAGCTCTGGTCTGCTGCCTTCCTGAAGTGTGAAGTGTGAATTACAGAATGGAATGATCCAGAAGTCCCAAGGACTGCGGTGGGGAGGGGAGAGGAAACTTTACATCACTTCTGTTCCACTGCACTGCTGATGGGTGGCAGCTGCAGAATGAGCAAGGAGGAAAGAAATCAACAGAAGCCTCCTGTTAGGTCTCTGCTGAGGTTGGTTGTGGCGTAGAGGAAGAAGAAAGAAAGAATCGTTGAGGTTGGAAAAGACCTCTAAGGCCCTTAAGTCCAATCCCAACCCATCCCCACAGCATCGTGTTCCTCAGTGCTGTGCTGGAAGCACTTGGAAATGCCTTAAAATCCGCCCCAAGGATCTTCTGACCAAGTCTGGATGATGAAGATAAGGAAGAAGGAAGATCTGGCTGTAGATGAATCCATGGGGCCACAGGTCTGCCTCCAAGACTTGCCTGCAGTGAGGTGTAGCAAGTTCATGGAATCACTAAGGCTGGAAAAGACCTCCAAGATCCCCAAGCCAGCCCCAGCATGCCCACTGACCCCACATAACCTGGACAGTGGTACAGTGAGGGAACCAGACATAATGGGTGACTTCAGTGCATCTCTGGACAAGGGAAGACACTGAACAGTGAGATCAGGAGAACCTCATGAGGTTCAGCAAAGCCAACTGTGAGATCTGCCCCTTGGTCATGGCAACTGCCCCTATCAGTACAAGCTATCAGTACAGTGCAGGTGTGCATGTGTCAGCCTTGGGAACATGTGAAAGGTATGTGGTGTCCACTCAGGGGTCCCAGGGCAGTTTAGCTTCCAGTCCTCAAAATAATTTTCCCCTCATCATAGAATCACAGAATGGCCTGGGTTGCAAAGGAGCACAATGCTCATCCAGTTCCAACCCCCTGCTATGTGCAGGTTGCCAACCAGCAGCCCAGGCTGCCCAGAGCCACATCCAGCCTGGCTTTCAATGCCTGCAGGGATGGGGCATCCACAGCCTCCTTGGGCAACCTGTTCCAGTGTGTCACCGATTTGTGGTTGTGATTTGTGGTTGGCTAGAAAAATTAGTCAGCTTTCTGTAACGTTTTGCTGTATTTAAAAATCCTCTTAGGTTGCTTTTCCTTCATTGCATAACTTGTGATTACTGCTATCAGAGGTTCGCAGATTATTGCTGGTTCCAGGCCTCAAGTTGCACCAGGGGAGGTTAAGGTCAAGTGTTAGAATTTCCTTCTGTGAAAGAGCAGTGAGACACTGGCACAGCTAACCAAAGAGTGCTGGGGTCACTATCCTGGGTGAACAGAGCCATGAGATGTGGCACTGAGGGACACAGTGGGTGGGTTGGGTTTGGGGAACTTAGAGATCTTTTCCAACCTTCATGTTTCTATTGTTCTTTGACAGGGGCCTGCAACCAGAGCAGCCAGAGGTGACTGCAGCCCAACAGAGAGCAAACCATGCAGCACTACACTTCCCATCACCTCCAGCTTCACCCCAAAGGCTTGTGGACCCAATGCCACCCACTTCCTCGTGTCATTCTTATTTTTTCCTGTCTTTCTCACATGTCTCCACATAAGGATGTGTCGTCCATAGCAACATGATGTAATCTCAAGCCCAACAGGCAAGTTAAAGCAATGCCCCATCAGCCTGATGCCAGTTTTTCCAGATCTCACAATAGCTGACAAGGGAATTTACACCCTCAGGGAATTTGCACCTGACAGTCAGCGTGAGGCACAGCTGCTGCTCTTCATACCTTTGCTGCTCTTTTCTGCTCCTTTGTGTTTTGTTTACAACGGAGAGCCAAGGCTCAGCATAACAGGAGCTTCAGCCTCTACAAGCTTCATTTCCCACCAAAACAAAAAAAGGACAATGCCTATGTTAAATACCTTTTCAAGGCCTGCCAAACAGGAATGCTTCTTACTACAACTCTGTGGAGTTCTCTCTTTGGAAAGGCAATTAGAGGGACTGTTAAAATTAAGCTTTGTATTTCAAATGCTTCAATTCTTGGCTATTTTTTTTCCCTTATGTGTTTATTGAGAGCTATAAGTTATTCTTAAGAGAGATTTTATGCCATCGGAGCAAACAGGCTGTAACTTTGTGATACCTTCATGTAGGATGGTGCCAGCCATGCTCACACCCTGTGTTATCAGTGCTCACCTTCCCAGATGCAATTAACAGCAGGATTTGACCATCATTGCTGATACTTAGATAAGAGAATTACCAATCCATCAGTTTATCTCTGCTCCTCTCTGAAGAACAGATAAAACAGAAGATAAAAACTTTCACCTGTTCTTTCTTTCATGGAAATAACTGCAGTGTGAAGGGGTTGAAAGCTCTCTGTGGGATCTCATAATGCATCCCAAGTCAGAGTGTGAACTGCCTTCCTAGCTTTGCTAGCCCCAAGGGAGAGCAATGAAGAAGCTACGATGATGCTGATATTGGACCAAGGCATGTTGCTTCTCTCCCAGCAATCCACAGAGGACAGTGTGCCATATACAGAGCAGCATCAAACACTTTAGGGCCTAAAAGCTGAGTAAAATGACCCATGACTAGAGAGAAATACAAGGTGAGTGGTGGGACACAGCTTGCTGCAATGGAAGAGAATGGTGAGAGCCTGCAGGCAGACCGTGGTGGTGCTCAGCTGGAAGGGATGACTTCATCCTTGCCAAAACGCATGTGTGCATATATATGGCTCTGTGTGTTATGTTGCTCTGCGTTCAGGGACAGAACTGACTGCTCCCTGTGCTGCTGCCCTGAAATTCAGAACATCCTTGAGGAGCATAACTGCAGCTGTGGAATGGTCAGTAACTCCCCTTGTGCCACCCCTCCCCAGAATGAGCACTTTTGTTTAATGTAGACAAAATAACGTAAGTTAATAGACTTGTTAATCGCACACAGCTTCTGTTTGGGATTTGCATTTGTGCAGGGGGGAAGGCAATTCCCCTTGGCACAGCTGAATGCCCCAGGGCTGAGTTTGCAGCGTCCTAACCCTGAACAATGGTGTGCAAATTTTGCTCCTGAGCAACGCCTTCGATGTTTTTCTGCAGAAGAATGGCTGAGCTCACAACGATGTCACTGCACATCAGGAGGAAAAACCATCTGCACGGTCGTGATAGCATCCCCAGGGACCTGGCACTGCAGAGCAAACCCTCACCCGTGACAAACAGGATTAGCCCTGCACCGGAGAGCCTCAGCACTGGGTAGGCACGGTGTTTCCATGGCAATTTCATTGCATGCAGTTGGTTCCAGATACCCTGCATAGGGCTTGGGGCTCCCTCCCACGGCGTTCCCATTGGTTTCCTACCCCCCCCCCCCCCCCCAAGTTCCTGCAGTGGGATGGGTCACTCAGGATGAACCCTGCGTTGCACTCTGCATGCCCTCGCTCTGCAGCACAGCTTTTGTTTTATTATTTATGGACCACGAACATGCTGTGCCTCTTGGTTTACCTGGTGGTTGCACAGCAGCTCCCATTGCTTTACTTGCCTCTCTCAGAGTACCATGTTTCCAGGCAGAGGTTGCAGCCCTAAAGCCAGGCAGTAGCACCACCCATGCCAGGGGATTGTGTGCTGCCTGGGGAGGTGTCTCTGGAGGTTGAAAGCCATTTTTAAGCTGATCTAAAGCAACCAAAATGCAGGCAGAGCACAGAGAATGAGAGCAGGGAGGACACAGCAGGGGACCACTGATAATAGGAAGCTGTCCTGGCTTGGTGCTTCGTGTTAGCCCTGGGGAAGCTTGAGCCTGAACTCTCCTGCATGGACAGTGTGCTCTTTGGTTTGCTGAAGAGCTGAATGCCCTAAACAACCATAACTTGCCTCAAAGCATCACAAAGCAGAAAAACATATATTAATTAAAGCTAATTTCGAGGGCGCTGGCAGTGTGGTATTGGTGCCCTTTGTAGTACATGGTGAACTGATGGCAGGCAACTCAGAGCTGCTTGAAAGCTCCAAAGCAAGAGCCAGGTGCTGCTCTCCTGCTTCTTGCTGCACACATAGCACCCTGAAAACACACTACGGGTCCAGTTCTGCCCGTGGACACATATCTGAGGCAGCACCCTTGAGTTAGTAAGCACAGAGAAACTCAGGCTCATCACCTCCTCCCACCCTGATCTCTTGCCCTATCCATAAAGTGCATTTTAACTCAGGCTCTGCTGACTCAGCCTCAGGTGCAGCAGTTCTCACTGAGGAGCACATGGCAGGAAAGCCACAGCCAGCATCCCCACTCCTCCTGGTGACTCCAGCTCTGCTCTGGGTCAAGTTCTGTCCTAGCTGTCCACCTCCTTCCTATGATTTCACTGCAGGGAACTTCAGCACTCCAGGGAAGCTGGCTTGGGTCACTGATCCCCTTGTATATCAAAGTTTGTCCTTTCCAAGCCAGAGCTGGTTATTTTTAAGCCTCCCTGCTAGGTATTAATAGCTCATATGCGTGCTATGCTGAGCAGATCCTTTGGTACCCTGATGGGAATCAAGCTGAACTGCCCTGACCTACGATCACAGTCCCAATGGCTGGTTTTCTAATTGCACTTCTGATAAGTTCACTGCAGCTTATCACCAGCACGTGCCTACAGCTGCATTGACCCGGGTTCCTCAGCAGGAAAAGGGGGGAAAGGCAAACAGGAGCAGAGAAAGGGGAAACAGACTTGCAGGGTGCAAAGAGAGCTGGGGCTGCATCTCCCTTGCAATTGGTGCTGCATAGGGAGTCCAATATCATCCCAAATCTAGACTCTGCCTGCTTAGGGCTCATCTGCTAATTGATTGGGCAGCATTTAGCATCAGTTTGGGATTGCCACATCTTTATCTAAAGCATCTGATTGCTTCCAGGTGTGAGAGAGGCTGTGTCTGGAGTGAGGTGAACTGTTAGTCAGCAGAAATGGATGTTTGAGTCACTGAAGGCTTCTGAGCTGAAGGGGAAGCCCACAATCACCTCATCACCCACATCAGCCACAACTGGGTACCTCACAGGACATCACCTCTTCTATCTTGCTCCAGAGGAAGGCGGGCAGTAATGAGTAATTAAAGACACTGCTTGAAACCACCATTTCTATAGGATTCTGCCTCCTTGTGCTGCAGCATCTGCCCCAGATCACAGCATGTTATTAGAACAGCCAAGAGAGAGGCTTTGGAGAATTTACCCTGGAAAAGAACAGGGGACCCCCATGCTGCAGTGCAGGGGGAGCATATCAGGCACACAAGCTACATTACTGCAAGGTCAACCTCAGCTTCCCATGCACGTAGTTTTGCCAGATTCTTTCCCAAGGCCCAGGCAAACTGGTTACAACCGTTGTCTCACCTGTTATTCATTGCTGTGTGCTGAAAAAACAAACAAACAAAATGCCACAACCAGGACTGAATCAATTGGCCTCATGTGAGCTCTGTATTTCCCTGGCTGCATTGTTTAAAATCCTAATGCAGCCAGCTGCAATGTGCATGCTTTGATTTAGTGATTCAGCCAAGGACAGTGCTGCCTTAGCTCTGTGCTCTTAAAACCCAAGATGGGCTGAGCACAAGGAGCAAAGGCAGAGCCCCGCTAGCTTCAATGAGGAGCTGCTCAGCTGCAGGATGAGCCTGTAATTAGTCCTCGTCAGCAGAATCGAGCCCATTTTGGGGATGTCCCACCTGTCCCCATGTTTCCATACCCCTCCAAGCATCACCCAGAGCCCAGCACGGTGCAGTTGCATGAGGACACCCATGGAGATATGACCAGCTGCCACCAGGTGGCACTGGAACCTTGTCACCCAGCATGGTGGGATCTGTCCTCAAGGTGGGGGCACCCAGGTTGCTCTGTTGCATGCAAGCTATGGGCCCTCACTTGAATTTAATGGCAGGGACAGGTGGGTGAAGGAGCTGCCAATGGTGGGCAGTGATCTCTTGCACGAGGGCTTTTTTTCCTTGAAAGATTTCAGATTTAGGGGAAAGCAGTGTTTGTTTGTTTTTTCAATTCTGTCAACACATCTTGTGACGCAGCTGTTCCCCCCCACAGCTGTACACAGCAGCATTAGAGACTCTGGGGTCACCAGCTCTGTCCCAATATCTCCCAGAAGTGCTGATGGCCATTGGGATGGCCACATCTCCTGAGTTATGGTGGGATGTTCACCATGCTGCACCCATCCCATCATGGGGAACCCCATCCAGCCCCAGCACAGGGGGTACTCAGGGTGCTAGAGAGGGGAATCAGTGCCACACAAGGGGAGAAGACTGGAGCACAAACCCACTCAGGGAAGGAGGATGTTCTCTGGCTGTCCCTGCCCGCTGTGCGTCCCCTGCTTTATTTGCAGAGAGCAGGTTTGTTTGCTTTTCCCAACGTTGTAACTGCAGTGCAAACACAACAAACCCTCCTGAGCCCCCTCCCAGGGGTTGTGCATGACTGTGGCATTTGCACCGCTTGCCTGGCATAGAAACCAGAGTTGACCCCAAAACAGGGACCCACGGGGCTCCCCTCAGATCCCTGTGTCAGTTTCTATGCCCAGAGCATGGCTGAAAGCAAGGGAAATCCTAAATCTGCTGGGTGAGTCACTGCCACCATTGTGCCCAGGTTGCCAGCCCTTCCCAAAACACTGATGTCCCATGTTTTGGATCAGGGCTTGGTGAATGCTCTACAGGCAGCCAGTTTGGCTGCAAATACAGATATTAATTATGCCATTATGAGAAGATTAAGACATCCCAGGGACCACGATAGGCACTGTGGCCAGCTCACTGTGTTGTCCCCAGCAAGCAGCCTGATCTCAAGGACAGGAACAAGGGCATTCATCCTCCTGACCACTGGCCAAGCCATAACCAAACCCCAACTGAGCTGCTTTCACAGCAGGGACAAAGCCAAAGAGCCCAGGAGGACCTGAGCATGTCTCCTTCCCATTTGCCACTGTGTGCTCACCCCTTGGAAAACACATTTGGCAGCTAAGGTGCAAAAGGGCAAAGCTACAGCCGGCAGCACTGTAGGAAGGAAGCAGGAAAATCTCTGCAGCCCCCAGGGTTCAACCAGGCTTGCATGGTTCGCCCAACGCTGGCAGAATGGAGATGTCATCCCAGGCCATGGAATGGGGCTACGATACCCAAACTGTGACTTTTTGACCAGCCCGGAGCCAGGTGGAGAAGAAGCAGATGCAACTCATCTCAAGAACCACCACCTCCTTTAATTCCCCACCAGTGAAGCGGGGCTCAGCCTGGCTCTGAAATCACAGCTTTTAGCCCCAGAAAAACCCACGCTAAGCAGTGCAGAGTGTGCTTCGGAGGTGATGCTGGTGATCTGTGCAGGGGATTTTCCTCCTTTGCAACCCATGCCAGCCTCAGTAAGTCATGAGAACAGTGGGAAAGTAGACATCTCCACCATTCCCACATCCCCAACTGCGGTGGTTCCGTGGCACCGGGACCTGCCTGCAGGTGACACCGGTGCTCCTGCCTCACACCAGGGCTCAGCACCGTGGGGTTCTTTCTGCAGGAGGCACCGGGCTCAGATCATGGAGACCCTATTCTTGATGTAGACGTGGTACGGATCGCTGCGCTTGTCCACCTTTCGGGATCGGGTGTAGCCCAGGATGAGGCTGCCCACGGTGGCTGCGAAGAGCGTCATGACGAAGAGGATGTACAGGTAGGAATTGTCATCCCGGCTGGCACGGGTGCTGGCATTGTGTGGGGTGCTGGGGCGGAGGATGGCCCCGTGTAAGGTTTGGTTCAAGGCATCCAGCATTGCTTGGAGGCTGCGGTGCCACGGCTCCGTCCTGTTGTCCTCCTCCATCTCCTCGCCAAGCCTGTGTGGGGCAGCAGCAGAGTCAGCCCCATGGACGGGGTGCCCTGAGGTGATGTTGGGGCTGAGGATGAGCCCCAAAAGGATCCTCAAGGAAAGGTTTGATGGCAAAATAAAACCCAAATCCAGCCCCAGCCCTGTTGGCAGAGTGCAGAGCCATGGCATCCACCTTGCTGCTTCCTTCGTTAAATCTGCCCCCCTCCTCCCCCCCTTAAATCGAATTAGGAACGTTGAATTCTTTTTGAATGAAGGCACTTTAAGAGAACCCGGATGAAGCACTTGGTGCTCAGGCACAGATGACTGTCGGACATCCTCTGATGGACAGACAGACGGATGCAACCCCGCCAAGCACTTCCCATGCAGAAACAGACCCCAGAGATCCCTCTGTGCTCCCCATCCCAGCAACATCAGTTCCAAATGACCCCACTGGGGTCAGTGTTACCCGGTATCCCTTGGCCAGCATAGGGGGTCCCCCCAGGTCCCAACTGATGGGCATCCTAAATAACAGCTCCAGAACTGATTGTGCCACGCACAGACCCCATTCATCCCAAAGAGCCCTGGCAAGAGAGGCACTGACTTCACATGCCACCATGGACTCCCACCAAGGGGTCACTGCCCCAAATCCTCCCAGAATTTCCAACCCCATGGGCAAGATTGGTCCCAGAGCCCCTCCAGACCCCCAACCTTTTCCCCTGTGCTCCCCCAAACAGTGTTCCTCAAATGCAAAATGCATTCCCTGAAAAGCAGCAAGGAGAAAAGGGTCCTGGGGAGGGTGGGGGGGGTTGGGAGAGCTCACCCTTTGACCCCTACTCTCTTTCCAAACACCATTAATCAGTGGGAAGCCAGAATGGTGGGGACTTGGAGCAAAAAATCAGCATTTCCCACCTGCAGAGCCCTGCAGCAGGGTGCAGCACCCCGCTTTCCAGGCTGCAATTTGGGATAGGGGTGGACAAGGGGAGGGAAAGGAGGGGGGTTGGTTGCACTCACCGGGTGCCCTCACTGCCTGCACGGCCGCTGGGTTGAACTGGGACTGGAGCATCGCGGCCGCCAGCCGGGCTGGGAGTGCCGCAGCCTCCTCCCCTTCCTGGGGCAGAGCCACCTGCCAAAGCCACCCAGCCCCGGTGGTGGCTACCAGTGTGTCCCCAAAGCCTTCAGTCCCGTTGTATGATCTCCTCAGCCCGGATGCAGGAGGTTTTTATGAGGCTGTCCGGGTGGATCCTGCCTTTCCCTCCTCGCACGCTGCCGGTCACGCTTTCCTGTCCCTCCTCCGGATGTCCATGCCTGTCCCCAAGCCCTGCAGTGGGCACTGAGCCTGCTGGGGATGAAATGGGATATTCCTTCCCATAGGGACCCTCCCTGCCCCCACTGCAGCCCCAACAATATCACTGCATCACAGACCATCAGGGCCCTGGGATAGATGCTGTGACCAGGACAGCAGTCTTGGAAGATGCCCATACCCTGCTGGTACCCCAATCCCTTTTCTCACTCCTTCCCACCATATCAGCACTATTTTGGTGGCTTTAGCCCCTCTTTGGTGGCTTTTAGTCTCTTGTTGGTGGCCTTCAGTTGTCTCCCCCCCCCCCCCAGCAGCCTTTTGTCCTTTTGGTGGTCTTTAGTTCCCCTTTGGCCTCTCTCTGTTGACTTTAGTCCTCTTTTGATGGCCTTTTATCCCCCTTTGGTGGTCTTTAACCTCCCTCTGGTGACTTTAGTCGCCCTTTGGTGGATTTTAGTCCCCCTTCGGTGACCTTCAGCACCTCTAGTGACTTCAGGCCTCTCTTTGGTGGCCTTCAGTCCCCCTCAGATGGCCTTTTGTCCCTTTTTGGTAGCCTTTAGCCTCTCTGGTGACTTTAGTCCCCCTTTGGTAAATTTTAGTCCCCCTTTGGTGGCTTTTAGTCACTCTCTGGTGGCCTTTAGCCTCTTTGGTAGCCTTTAGTCCTCTTTTGGTGGTTTTCAGTGCCTCTTTGGTGGCTTCTGTTCTACTCTGGTGGCTTCTATTCCCTCTTTGGTGGTCTTTAGTCCACCCTTTTTCACCTTTATTTCCCCTCTGGTGGCCTTTAGTCTCCCTTGGTGGCCTTTAATCCCTCTCTGATGGCCTTTAGTCCCTCTTTGGTGGCCTTCAGCCTCTCCTTGGTGGCCTTTAGTCCCTCTTAGCTCACTCACAGTTCCAG